GCCCCGGCCCCCCGTCCCAGCCCTCCCTCCTGCTCTGATGTGTTGCAGGTGCCGACAAGGCCGCCTACCTCATGGGGATCAGCTCAGCTGACCTCATCAAGGGGCTGCTCCACCCCCGCGTGAAAGTCGGGAACGAGTACGTGACCAAAGGCCAGAACGTGGAGCAGGTGAGTGCTGGGCGCTAGCCGGGGCCTGCAGGCAAGTTGGGGGGCGCCCCGGGCAGGCATGGGGCCAGCTGGTCCTGCTGCTGGCCTGCGTACCCGTTGCTGTGGGCTGGCGGGAGGGCCGGGACTGGTGGCCGTGCAGTTTGCTGAGTTCCCCGGGTGAAGGGAACGAGTACGTGACCAAAGGCCAGAACGTGGAGCAGGTGAGTGCTGGGCGCTAGCCGGGGCCTGCAGGCAAGTTGGGGGGCGCCCCGGGCAGGCATGGGGCCAGCTGGTCCTGCTGCTGGCCTGCGTACCCGTTGCTGTGGGCTGGCGGGAGGGCCGGGACTGGTGGCCGTGCAGTTTGCTGAGTTCCCCGGGTGAAGGCGGGTGCTGGGGCCGGGGCTGGAGCCCCGCCCTGCAGTTCTTGCAGCCTCCACCCCCGAGACAGCAGCGTGAGAGCAGGAAGGCTGCAAGCCCAGCTAGGGGGTTTCCACCCACAGCCTGGCCTGCCCACTCCCCGTGCACACGGGCCTGGGGGTCACATGTCTGAGTGTCCCACCTCCCGTCGGCCCAGGCTGCACCGTCCGGAGGGACTTAGGCACGTGGAGCGTGGGGCTCAGAAGGGCCCTGGGACTCAGGCTCCTAAGTCACTAGAGCACTTTGGAAAGCGTCGCCCTCGACCCAGCCCGGCCCAGCCGGAGATAACGGGCTGGCTGAACACAGGCCCCTGGGCCGAGTCGCTGGCTGGGAACAGGAAGGTTCTGCCCCCCTCAGGCTGGGCGGAGCCAGAAGGGAGCGGGCGGCGCACGTCCCGCTGCCACGAGCCCTGTGCGGCTTGCCTTGCAGGTGGTCTATGCCGTCGGGGCCTTGGCCAAAGCCACCTACGACCGCATGTTCAAGTGGCTGGTGCTTCGGATCAACAAAACCCTGGACACCAAGCTGGCCAGGCAGTTCTTCATCGGCGTGCTGGACATCGCAGGCTTCGAGATCTTCGAGGTGGGTTGCTGGGCACTTTCCCCAGGGCCGCCCGGGGGCCTGCGCAGGCGGCGGGGTGCAGCCAGTGCTGCCCAGGGCTCCCGCTGCTGACCCCGAGCTCTGATTGGTGCCCGCAGTTTAACAGCTTCGAGCAGCTCTGCATCAACTTCACCAACGAGAAGCTGCAGCAGTTCTTCAACCACCACATGTTCGTGCTGGAGCAGGAGGAGTACAAGAAGGAGGGGATCGAGTGGACCTTCATCGACTTCGGCCTAGACCTGCAGGCCTGCATCGACCTCATCGAGAAGGTGAAGCGGGGGGCAGGGCCAGGGGCGCCACGGAGCCTTTTGGAACGAAGGCAGCGCCGCTCGGTGGCTCCTTTTCTGACAGGAGAAGGTGAATTGGCTGAGGGAGGCAGGCGCTTGTGCCCTTGGGCGCACTGGCTGGCAGCCTGGCCCTGGCTGCCGGGAGGGAAATCAAGTGGGACGCCCTCTGGCCGCAGGGAAATTCCCCTGGCTTGGGAGCAGGGGGCAGGGAAGATGTGGGGCGTGCGGCCAAGAGCGGCCCAGGTGCTCGGAGGTGTGCCAGGCGTTGGGTGGGGGCCTGGCCTCTGCCCGCTGCGCCCAACTCCCAGCGGCTCACAGGTCTCCTTTCCCGCAGCCGCTGGGGATCCTCTCCATCCTGGAGGAGGAGTGCATGTTCCCGAAGGCCTCCGACATGTCCTTCAAGGCCAAGCTGTACGACAACCACATCGGCAAGTCGCCCAACTTCCAGAAGCCGCGGCCGGACAAGAAGCGCAAATACGAGACGCACTTCGAGCTGGTGCACTACGCCGGCGTGGTACGTCCCCAGCCGCCCGGCTCCCCCGCCGGCCCGGGGGGCCACAGGTCTGACCCCTTCTCTCTGCCCCACGGGACAGGTGCCCTACAACATCGTGGGCTGGCTGGATAAGAACAAAGACCCCCTGAACGAGACCGTGGTGGGCGTCTTCCAGAAGTCGCAGAACAAGCTCCTGGGCAGCCTGTACGAGAACTACGTGAGCTCCTCCTCTGGTGAGCCAGGGGCCTGCCCCCACCCCTCGCACCCCCCCTGCCTGCAGCGGC